AGCTTCACCTCCCCCAAGGGGAAAGAAAGTGCCAGACATTTCTTCAGTACCATCCATCAAGTGCAGACAGGCCCTTCCTCCCACCTCCCCTCCCCAAGCCTCTTCCTGGAGCCCACACCCAGTGGGACCTGGAAGTAGGGGTGGGCAGCTTGGAGGTCTGCCTTCAGGGCAGTGCTCCCCGATACACAAGTGGTGGTCTGGGACGTGACCTTGTCCAGTGACCTTAATGTTCTGTGCTCCCTACCCACCCTTTTGGGCTTCAGTCAGCTTTGATTTATTGGGAGAGGCAGCTTGCATGGTCAAGTCCTCACCCTCTGCTGGAAGGCCTAACGGAAGGATGGTTGCCCTGGTAACCAAGGCATACTCAACTTCCTATGGGCCCTGGTGACCATCTCGACTCTCCTGCCCCAGTCGCCCCTCCAAAGGGTAGTAGACACCCCCAGAGCAGAGTGGATCTGCCAAGGAGAACTAGGGCCTGAGACGTTGGGCATGGGGGCTGGGTATCCAAAGAGACTGGGCTTTGGGGAGGGGAGCGGGGAGCCCAATGACTGAGGAACTCCGGGAAGACAATTCTAGGAAATTGCCCGTCAGATCCTTCCGGGGTAGCCTGGCTCTGCTGCTGACGCTCAAGGGAGGGCCTGGGTGGGCGTCAGGAGAGGCCCTGGGAGTGGATGATCTCTGCAGCTCGAGAACTTTCACTGCGACCCAGAAGATTTCCTTCCGGAGGAAGGTCCCTGAAGCCAGGAAGAACTGGGAAAGCCATTACCGAGAGGTGGGGGGTCCGACGTTAAAGAGCGTCTCTCCTCCAAGTCCGGGAGGCAGATCTGTGCCAGGAACCGCCGCCCACAGGGGAGGGGCAGTCTGGCCTGGCAGTTTCCCCGGCTGGCCCGCAGAGGAGGGCTGGGAGGGCAACAGGGTTTCCCTGGAGTACAATAAGAATAGCAACAGTAATCCTTGGCATTCGATTGTGCCTTGGAGTTGACAAAGGCTTTCACATACGTTAGCTCATCTGTCCACGTGACACCCTGGGCGGGGTGGGGGCGCAGGCCGTGCAGCTGTGGGTAGGAGGGCCCACGGTAGACTGTGTGCAAAGGGAACCCTAGCCCAACCAGCTCTGCACCAGACCAGGGCCTGGAAAAAAGTAGAGTTGACAAGACAAATACCCTCTTCCCCACCCCTTCCTTCTCTATGTCCAAGAGCTTGGGTAATATATCATAGCAGTACATTAAGTAATAATTTTTTAAACTTTTAAAAAATGTGTTTTTTATTGATTTGAGAGTGAGAGGAAGGGAGACATGAGAGAGTAATATCGATTGAAAGAGAAACATTGATCAGTTGCCTCTTGTAGGCACCAGGACTGACCATCCAACCTGAGTCGGGCATGTGCCCTGACCAGGAATCAAACTGGCTGGCGACCTTTTGCAGCAAGGGACGATGCTCAACCAGCGGAGCCACTCCAGCCAGGGCAAGTAATACTTTAAAAATATATATGTTTATTAAAAAAATGCTTTCTACCTTTCTGGACAGATCCGTGGAATCTAATTAGCAGCAGAGGCCAGTTTTGCAGCCTGAAAGTCATTTTTAATTAAATTGCAGGAGCTGTAAAAACATAAAAACAAATAAATTAACCATAAAAAAATACCTAATGCTGTGCAGGAAGACTTAATCTCATTGAGTTGGGAGGCAAGCAGGGTTACAGGCAAGGTGTTTACCACCAAGATGAAGGAGTTATGATGCTGATGAATTTGGTGAGGCATCAAGCAGAGGCAGAGATGCTGAGGAGGAGGAGGAGGCCAAGGAAGACAAGAGGAGGTGGGCAGGAAGTTTGACCGTAGTGCTAAGCCCAGATTTAGTGAGGGGGTCCAGGTAGGAAAAATCCCACCCACTCAGTTCCCTAGTACATGCATTGCATCATTGAGTGAGTGGCTGGGCTGGTTGTCCTTTAAGAACCTTTCCATCGCAAAGATTCCATAATCAAGTACATCTGTGAACCGCCTGAACTTGATGCAACTATCTCACTATTATTCTCTGCTTTTGGCTTTCAAATGTAGACTTCAGGAGGAGAGGGGTGGAAGAGATTAGCCAAAGAACTTGGATCCCTGTAATCATAATCCATGGCCACAGACAATAGTGCAGGGGGAGGGGGAGGGGAGACAGATGCAGGGTGGAGGGGGGTCAGTGAGTGGAAATAGGGGACATCTGTAATACTTTCAACAGTAAAGCTAATTTAAAACAAAACAACAACAAAAAACAAATGTGGACTGCACACGGCATACTTTGCCTGCTGATATGTCCCATGATCAGGTCAGCCCACAGAACTCCCAGCAGAGTAGAATACCGCATAGATCTCAGCGTTTGGAATTAGAGCAATTTCAAACATCTCTGAAGTGAGAGGCAGTGTGATGTTGGATAAGAAGAGGCTAACTATGGAGACAGCCTGCCTGGATTCAAATCCCAGCTTGGCCCCGCATAATCCGTGTAATCTTGGGCAAATTTCTCAACTCTGCTAATCCTCAGCTTTCTGCTCTGAAACACGGGAACCATCTGAAGACCGATCTCGTAGGGTCGCTTTGAAGATTACATGCGTTAATTCTCCCCAATGCAAGCTTAGGATGCTGACTGGTAAGTGGTGAGAACTAGATAAGTGTTTCCTTGTTTATTGAGTCCACATCATGCAAACCACGATGCTACATGTAAGAAGTCCCTGCTGTCCACAGAAGAGCTGGAAGTGAAACGCAGCACACAATTAGAACCCTCAGTGAGAGGTACTGGTAAGATCTAAAAATCTTAGAAGAGAAAGTAGAAGTTGTGCAGTCCCGCTGCCTATCCAGGCCCAACATCTTTCTTAAAATATCTGTGAATTCTTCCACGTTCTATTGGAAAACTTTCAGGAACTTGGAACTCAAACCAATCTATTTTTGAACAGCTGTAACTAGAATATTCTTCCTGACATAAGAAGATGGAGAGATTTCAATCATTAGAATTCCCTTTGAAGGAATCCTTTTGTTTATGGACAAGGGGGCTTGCCGCTTCAACTGCCATCTAAGAAAGGTGCGTCTTTGTTTTGCTGATGTTGGAACTGAGTTTTCATAGAAATTATGAGGCTCAGAATGAACTAAATTCATTTGTGCAGTAGTAAATATATCTAATAGAGACTTTTGTTATATTTTTATAAATATTGTTAAAAGTATTACATATGTCCCCCTTTTTGTTTTCCCCATTGCCCTTCCGCCCCCCTCTAATAGAGACTTTTTTAAATAACACGTTTTTATTGATTTCAGAGAGAGAGAGAGGGAGAGATAAAAACATCAATAATGAGAGAGAATCATTGATTGGCTGCCTCCTGCACGCTCAGTGGATAGAGCATCGGCCTGTGGACTCAAGGGTCCTAGGTTCGATTCCGGTCAAGGGCACATGTCCGGGGTTGCAGGCTGGATTCCCAGTAGGGGACATGCAGGAGGCAGCCGATCAATAATTCTCTTTCATCATTGATGTTTCTATCTATCTCCCTCTCCCTTCCTCTCTGAAATGAATAAAAATCTATTTTAAAATAATAATAATGAAAGAAATATACCTTTCTTATACAAAGTGTAGCATCTTAGTTCACTTAATATCTTGCCTTCCATATCTATTTAGAAAGAGCTTCCTTATTCCTTTTGCAGCTGCATCGTATTAATTTTGTGCATATACCATAATCTATTAACCTAGCTGGTGGACATTTACCTGTTTTCAAACTCTTGCTATTGTATACAATGCTATCATGTTTAATCTCATACCTACACCTCATGTCATGTCTGTCCCATGCAGAATACCTGCAAGATAAACTCCTAGGAGTGGGATTGCCCAGTCACAGGGTATACATATTTGTAGTTTTTATATCCATTCTAAAGTACCCCTTTATAGGGTTTACCAACCTGCACACCCACCAGCAATGCATGAGGGTAACTAATTCCCTAAAACTTTGACAACTGTTTTCAAATGTTGCCATTTTTGCCAACTTGACAGATGACAGGTGATGGCTGTTTGGTTTTATTTGTTCCATTTTTAAAAAGTGAGGTAAAACATACATATAGTAAAATGAACAACTCAACAAATTTTAACACATGTATGCAGTGCTCGCTTCAGCAGCACATATACTAAAATTGGAGACACAGAGAAGAGTAGCATGGCTCCTGTGCAAATTCATGAAGTGTTCCATATATTTTGGGGGAAACAAGCAAAAAACATATGCAGTCACCCAAATAAACCATGCAATCCTCACCCAAATAAAGATGTGATTGTTCCCAGCACCTCTAAGTCTCCTTAATGTCCCTTCTCAAGCAATACCTCCCCC